AAACTTGGCTTTCTGCTGAACCCAATGCGCACTCACCGGGATTTCAAGCCTCCACCCTTTGTGCAAGCTCTCCTTTCTGGGGGCTAGTCACTCCTGTGGGCAATGGGCAATGAGGCTTTTAAGAGCATGACATGATCAGATGTGTATTCTAGAAAGCTCACAGTGGAGAACAGACCTGGGGAGGGAGTGAGCAGGCGAGAGCAGGGGGTTTCCTTCGGAGGTGGCGGCAGTGGTGCAGAGACGGTGGAGAAACAGCAGGGACGGAGAGCAGGGGTGGATGAGGGAAGTGTTTAAGAGTTGACATAGGGCCTGGTCACCAGTGCACAGACTTCAAAGAGATTACGTGGCTTGCCCAGTGTTTCACGGCTATGAATTCAAACCCAGGCCTCCTGATTGCGGGTCCAAGAGAAGACCTCATGGTTCTAAATTCCCACGCAGCGCCAGGGGCCTGCGGGTCTGCGGAACAGGTGCCCGGTAACTGACCACGAGGCCGGCGCTGTGCTCTGAAACCCATCGGTGAGTTTGTGCAGAGGCCACCTCTCCCTGGCCTTTCCCAGCCGATGCCTGAGTGCGGCACGAACGCTAAGGCAGGCCCACTTCTGGGACACATCGAGCTCCTCCCGCCGGCCTCGCGGACCCTCCCGCGCCGTGAAGGATGCGCCCACACCGCCCAGCCCAGTGTCCCTGCTCCCTCCCTTGCAGGCAGACTTCCGTCGTGGTCTGCTGGCTCTCCCAGCCTTACCTAGTTCCCCACTCATTTTCTCTCGCACCAGCATTTCCCCTAATAGACCCCGTGCGTGTTACGAACTCTCGGAGTCAGCTTCTCAGAGGGCTAGACTAACAGCGCGCTTTTATAAGAGCTGACTCCAGGGACTAGCTTACGGCTTCACTGATGGTCTCTGATTGATGGAGAGCTGGGCTTTTACAATGCCTGACCTAGTCTGATGCAATGAATTTTCAGCTTTTATTTTTCTTCTTACATGAGTGATATGTTTTTACTTAAAACATGGTTAAGGGTCGAAACTCCAATAATCTTTACCCTCCCCCAATCTCGAGCATGATGTATTAAACAGCTGCTATTTTACACCACTGGCATTAGTGACTTCTGGGTCATGGGACTGTGAAGGCACATTGCAAATATTTCCCTAGGAGGCTTTGACACCCACAGAAGCACTTACTAAACAACTGCTGAAGCACAGGGCAGCCGTTTTGTTCACTATGAAAACCTCCCCCGAGCTGTCCTCCCTATTTTCTGGGACCAGATTTTCGAACCAAAGCCTTACTACTAGATATAACTGCACTATTATATTGAAACGGATTTGTTTGGAAAAATGAGTGCAAACGGGCTGAAATGGTGAAATGAGGCAACTTTCAATAAATCCAACGTGAAAACCAGACATGATGGATTTCTTACTCTAAATATTGGAATCAAAGTGTTAAATTTTTTTTGCCGCGCCGTAGGCCTTATGTGCTCTTATTTCCGCCACCAGGGATTGAACCCGGGCCCCAGCAGTGAAAGCACCAAGTCCTAACCACTGGACCACCAGGGAATTCCCTCAAAGTGTTAATTTTTGATTAGCAGAGACACAGAGCATTTTCAGGAACTCTTTCTTCATAAGCCAGGAAAACAATGTCCACTTTGACACTGTAAAATCCTCTCCTTTGGCTATTTTGAAAAACCTACCGGAGTTTCAAACTTGTTAAAAACCCATCCGTATCCTGAACTAAACTGCTAAGTTTAATCCTGAAAAAAGGTAATGTGCAAAACTAACATCTGAAAAGAAAACCTCTCCTTTTCCCTGGCCAAAGTTTCATTTAAAATACACTGGGAGGGCTTCCCTGGTGGCGCAGTGGTTAAGAATCCGCCTGCCAATAAAGAGGACACGGGTTCGAGCCCTGGTCCAGTAAGACCCCACATACCGCGGAGCAACTAAGCCCGTGTGCCACAACTAATTAGCCTGTGCTCTAGAGCCCACGCGCCACCGCTACTGAAGCCCGCGCGCCTAGAGCCCGTGCTCCGCACCGAGAGGCCACCGCAATGAGAAGCCCGCGCACCGCAACGAAGAGCAGCCCCCGCTGGCTGCAACTAGAGAAAGCCCGCGGGCAGCAACGAAGACCCAACGCAGCCAAAATAAATAAATTAATAAATAAATCTATTTCAAAAATAAAATCTATTGGGAAACCTTACTTTACAGCAGCAAGTTGATGGCGTCCTCGAGATCACAGCGCGGGCAACAAACTTAAGACCTTTGTGCAAAATCAGGTCAGGTGCCTAATGCATGTTGGGATTTGTAGTTCAGGTTCCTCCAGTTTTTAGAAAATAATTCGCACATTCACATACTTTATATGTAATGTGCTGCCATCTAGTGGAGCTCAGGTAGAACTGTTAACTCCAATTACGTAGAAGGTGAAAAGTAGAAAAGCATCTTACTTAGAATGTTGAAATCATTTCCTTCACTAATTTAACCTAAGTCCTTCTCTCTTTTTTTTTCCCCCCCCGGTACGCGGGCCTCTCACTGTCGTGGCCTCTCTCGTTGCGGAGCACAGGCTCCGGACGCGCAGGCTCAGCGGCCATGGCTTACGAGCCCAGCCGCTCCGCGGCATGTGGGGCTCTTCCCAGACCGGGCCACGAACCCGTGTTCCCTGCATCGGCAGGCGGATTCTCAACCACTGCGCCACCAGGGAAGCCCCCCTTCTCTTTTTCTTGATCTTAGAGGAAAAGCTTTCAGCTTTTCACTGTTGGTACGCGGGCCTCTCACTGCTGTGGCCTCTCCCGTTGCGGAGCACAGACTCCGGACGCGCAGGCTCAGCGGCCATGGCTCACGGGCCCAGCCGCTCCGCGGCATGTGGGATCTTCCCGGACCGGGGCACCAACCCGTGTCCCCTGCATCGGCAGGCGGACTCTCAACCACTGCGCCACCAGGGAAGCCCTCCCCCTTCTCTTTTATTAGCACCTACTATGTGCTGTCTGGGAGCACTCAAAGATTGAATGAGTCAGGAATTGCATGTGGAAGTTAGCAACAAAATAGAAGGAATGCAGGTCACTGAAGATACTGGAGCCTTCCTTCCTGGACCCTGACCTAGATAGTTCAGAGGGAGGGACATAAAAATTCTCTTGTGCTTTTTAAGGTATAAGTACAGCTATTTTGGCACACGCAGTCTATTCTAACACTAATATATACTTAGTGGCAGAATGCAGGCATCCTGAGTATACTGAGGGGGTTGAGTCTGGGGAACTTCAAAGTGCATTGTTGGGTAAGAGCAAAAAATCAGGTTTGGCTGAAGAGAACAGAAATATCCGATCAAAAAGAATGGACTAGATCCTGTGAGCCCTCTCTAGAGGCTTAGTAACTCATCACTTTATCAGGTGTGTAACTGAGCCGAGACTGTTTAGGCTATTTTGTGCATGTGCTATTTAAGTAGGGCTCACTCAACACCCACCCGACTTCCCCTGCCTTTTACTTTATAAAGGCTGGAAAACAACTATCAAATTCCTAGCCTTCTTTGCTACTAGAGCTGGCCAACGAAACATAGGCTGCAATCTCTGAGGACTTCCTTCTTGGATAAAAAGATGATGCCTCTCTGAAAGGCTTTTGACTTTTGCTCCTTCCCTTCTTTGCTCCTGGAATGCATCTATGATGCATAGGGACATGGCAGCCATGTTGTGACTTGGTGTGAGGTCAGACGCATAAAGACAGCAGGGTGAGAGAAGGGACCTGGTTCCTTGAAGACAGCCTCAAGACAACAGCCCTAGACTGACTCCTCTGGATTTCTTATGTGAGGAAAATAAACTTCTTTCAACCACTTTTTTGCTCTTGGAGCTAAGTGTATTTATAATAGTCACAGTGGCTCAGAACAAAGACTGTGAAGTCAGAAGGATAAAGGTAAGTCCCACGTCTTTCCCTCACTAGCTAAGTCACTTAACTATAAATCTCAGTTTTCTCATCTTTAAAATAGTCATAGCACTTACCTCAGGGATGTTGTGAGGAAAGACTCGGCATGTAAAACCATCAGTACAATATGTTACACTTGTACTTAATGATTATTATAAATTCAGTTATAATGGATAGCAAACATTGCCCTTTAAAAATTAAAAAAAAAAAACCCAAAAGTACCTTTTGGTGCCTAGACCAATGAGTTCATAGTAGATGGTCTTTTAATATTTGCTGAATATGAATGGTAGGCTCTCAGTAATAATTCTGCCAGGCTCAAGAACATGTTTCTTATGAACAGTAAATATATTTTGTCTTCTCTGGTCCTAATTTTGCTTTTCAGATCATTTTAGTATTGTCTGACCAGATTACTGCTTTTTAACCTTCTTGTAAGTTTCCACTGCTGATTTTCACTACCATTCCTTCACAAACACTCATCACAATATTGAAACTCAGATCATTAGAGGTTAGCAACTTTCCAACATTGATGGAGGAACAGAAGAGCCAGCTCTCTTTCCCCGACAGACACCGACTTAACAACCATATATGGACCGAAATACTTTTGTGAGAACTTCAGAAGCCCATTAAGAAACTGCAGTACGCTGGGTGAGGGCAAAGCTGAGAACAGCCACACTGAAGCGGGTGATAAGAGCCGGTTTTTACCCGCTACTACCCCTCTCCCAGGCTAGCACAGCTTAGCCCCTGGCTCAGTTTCCCCATCGTGGGGACTAGGGGGAAAGAGGAGAGTGGAAGATTCACCCAAAGTTCCAGCTTTCTGAGGGCTGCTTGAGTGACTGGTCACGCTCCCCTACCTGGAGTGCTGATGGAACCGGCATGGTTTGGCACCAGAGAGCCTGCTATGCCATCAGAGGCTGGTGTGGCTCTGCACAATCAGGACAACGTGCCCAGCTCGAAGCTTCATCCTTGAGAGGGAGGAAGATGGGTAGAGTGTGTGTCTGGTGTTCCAGCTTCTTGGATGGCTGCACAAGTGACTGGTTTGTGTTTCGCCTGACTTGGGGTGCTGATGTACTTTGGCTGCCTGGGGGCCAACGAGAAGAATGGGCAGTGGGGTGGCTTCCTGCTGTAGCAACAAAGAACCTGCAGTACTGCAGACAGACACCAGAAGGAGGAAGAGGTTATGAGCTCCTGAAAAAGGCGCTGGCAACCCTCTCGAGTTGGCAAATCACACACACAAGCCCAGAGAAGTTGCAATCCCACCAAAAGGTTGATTCAGAGGACCCCAGCATCTATAAATGAGCTCATTGATGGTGCTCCCCTGTACGAAGCTAGAAGAGGTGGCTGTTTTTTCAAATGCATAAACCCAGCAAAAAGTCAGAAGGCACACAAAGAAACAACATAAATCCCCAGAAACCAACTCCAAAGAAATGGCAATCTAAGAATTACCTATCAAATAATTAAAAATAATAGTTTTAAACAAGCTCAATGATCTACAAGAGAATGCAGACAACTAAATGAAATCAGGAAAATGATGCACGAGCAAAATGAAAATAGTAACAAATAAATAGAAACTATAAAAAAGAACCAAACAAATTCTGGCACTGAAGAATATAATAACCAAATTGAAAAATTCACTAGAGGGGTTCAACAGCAGACTTGATCAAGCAGAAGAATCAACAAAGTGGAAGACAGGTCATTTGAAATTATCCAGTCAGAGAAGCAAAAAGAAAGAAAAAAGTGAAGGGAGCCTAAGGTACTTATGGGACACTAGCAAGTAGACCAGAAGAAGAGAGACGGGGACGAAGAGCTGATTTGAGGAAATCAATAATGGCCCCAAATTTCCCAAATCCAGGGAAGGAAATGGACATCCAAATTCAGAGTTAAGCAACATTCTGCTAGACTGGAAACCTGATGACTGATTATATTTTTAATGGCCTTTAAACTAGTTTTATTATTCAGGTGAACGTACCTACGAGACGTCGTAAAGAATCAAACCTGCAGTGCTGTTATAGTGCTCTGTTTGGGTAAAAGGGCGAAAAGGAGAAACAGGCCCAGGGGAGAAGATTATAGGAGGGGACACTTTCCCCTCAGCCCTATTGAATCCCTGTGACAGTAAGTTAGATAAGAGAAAATATCCAATCCAGACCTTAGAATGATGGCTATGATGCAATTCATAATCTCTTCCTTTGAATAAATATTCTTACCAAAGAGCCAAGACTGCCTTGAAATCACTAACTCTGTTCTGAACCTTAAGCATCTTGCTGTTCTATGTGGTTTTTCAAAGTTATATGCTATAAAATATCAAATACTCTCTAAAACGTAGTGCATAACCTCTTGTAGGGTCAGAGACCCCTTTGGGAGTATGATAAAAGCAAGTATGGACCTTAGTACCCTAGACAAATGAATCCACACACAAAAGTTAACATTAAATTTCAGAGGTTTTACAGCCTACATGAAGTCCACCTTAGAATGCCTTACGTATCTGTGGGGACCCAGGTTGAGAAAACTTTGATGGAAACTCTGGTTGCTGTTTCCCCATGTCTAAAGTGAAAGGGTAAAATAAATCTATGTGGTTCTTCCAGTTGGGAATAAATGTGCAATCGAGTATAAAGTCTAATAACAAACCAACCAATTTAGAGTGCTTGCATAAGGAGTGGGGTGGTTGGTAAAACACTGAAAAGTGAGAAACAACTTTTGTACCTTATCACAGCAAAAGGAAGATTAAAACTAGAAAATGAAGAGGTCGTATCACTTGCTATTCCTTAACAACCTAAGTGTGGAATGCATGTGTGTATTTTTAGAGCAAAATTCTGAAAGTCAACAAACAAGAAGAGAAGAGAGCCAAATATACCCTGAGTACCCCACCGAGAAACCATCAGTTAATATTACATGGTGCTGTCATTCAGAACTAAGCAAACGTTTATTGAATGTTCAAGGTACTAAAAAGGGAGTCTGTAATTTTAATTAAATGATGTTTCATATTAATTTATGAATCATGCTTTGGAATTCTCTAAGTCACATGTGGATAACTTTACATTAATGAAACAGTATACATTTTATGTATTCGTGGAAAGAGTGGAAATTTCCTTCAATAACTTTATTCTTTACAAAACATATAAATAAATAAAACTATTCGACTTCTAAAGGATTACCACATTCAAGAAGAAGGTATTGCTATCACCATTCTAAATAACGGGAATGAATCCCGTTCCTTCACCTTCCAATTCTACCGGCAAAGTGAAAACTGAACTGAAATTAAGTTGGACTGTGACATCATTGCCAGGGATAAACGCAGGCATTTCCAAACATGGAACGCTGGGCCCCCAGAAAAGTGACAGAGAGTAATCTACTGAGTCT